ATATTAATATTGGCATTGCGACCCCTCCAAAAACCCTATGCGACCCCCTTAGGGGTCGCGACCCACCGGTTGGGAACCGCTGATCTATAGGACCATCACCCCTGACCTGAGAATAATGAGACGCTGTCATGATTTGAATAGTGCAATAGATAAGGGCATCGGTAAGCTTGACTGTGTAGGAACAATATGGCTACCAAAACAGAGCCAAACTGAATGGATTCTTTATAATTTCAAATTTTTGCTACAGAAACTTCAATATATTGAAACAGGCGATTCTTCCAAGACCCAAAATAGGAATTCTGGGCTTCAAACATTTTTCGCATTTAAAAAATCTTCGGATGGAAAATGTGGCCCTGATGAGACAGACAGAAGTGTAGTAGCAATATGGCGGACGTGGATACGCTTTTTTCTCCTCATGTGGCCTCCTTATTATTCTAATTCAATGCCCCTAACACAGTATTGTACTATTTCAGGTACAATTAAATAGATATAAGAAGTCCAAACCTACTATAGTTTTAAAATCAAGCTCGAGAATCAAGATCAAGTATATGTATTTTTTTTTATATATCCGCATAAAATAAATTGCCCCTATCAAAGTCCATTTGAGTCAATAAACACAGAACTAATTGTTGCACATTGCTGTGTAAATAAAGGCTGATTCGGCGCCAGCTATGCAAGGAGCCAGGTCACCAGTTGATGTTTTACTAGGCAGAAAAGTACAAGATTTAATGCCGCGGCTGGTGTTTCATAGCCGAGGCTAGGAAACCAGCCGAGGCATTAAATCTACTTTTCTGCCATGTAAAACATATAATTTTTTCTCCGAATGTTCAAATTCACACATGGACATCTTTTTTATATTTATTTCATTCATTATTATTATCCAAATAATTTAATTATTTTGACAATTGTCATTGTCACCATCAATTTCAAATACCAAATTGAGTGAAATTATTACCTGGAACATTGTGACACTGTCACTTTTAATGCCTAGGCAGTAAAAGTCCACTTTTACTGCCTAGGCAGTAAAAATACAACTTTTGATCCTGTCAAGTGTCATTAAAAGGCCGCTTTTACTGTCATTCGGAGAAAAAGTACTTTTTTGTACGCTCACGGCCGGACAAAAAAAGTGACGTCACAGAAATTTCCTAGATTCCATCGCTTTGAGCACCGTTTGCGGAAAAAATCGCATGTTTTATTCGGAGAAAAGCACTTTTTGTGGCTCGTCTAAAATTGTCAAACATTTAGTCTCGCCACAAAAAGTATCACTTTTACTCCTAATAAAACAATATACTATTTTCCGCAAACTTCAAAAAATGACGACTTTTTTTAACCTCAATTCTTAATGTTGAAGTTTGACTTCACAGACGTCATTTTTTGTTACTTTTTTGTCCGGCCGTGACGTGAGAGTACAAAAAAGTGTACTTCGTGACGTGAGAGTACAAAAAAGTGTACTTTTTTGTACGCCCACGGCCGGACAAAAAAGTGACGTCACAGAAATACAATAATTAATTCCTTGATTCCATTGTATGAACATCGTTTGGGGAAAAATCGCCTGTTTCATTCGGAGAAAAGCACTTTTACTCCTAATAAAACGAAACAATATACTATAGTCCTGAGTCCTGAGGTGTATACACTATTTTATGCTCTTTACTTTATTTCCCGGGGATTAAATAAAACAGGGAATAAAAGGGTACTTTTAATACTTGTTTTATTTAATCCCTGGAAAATTAGGTAATTTTTTAATTCCCGGGAAATAAAGTGAAATTTAATCCCGGGGATCAAAAGACCCACTTTACTCCCTAAAAACAGGGATTAAAAGGGTACTTTTAATCCGTAAAGTGCATAGGTAAAATATAATTTGGAGAGCTCACACAATTTTCCCAGATCCATTCCATGCAGTTGTGTTCCCTATCCGTCTGTTTTTTCACAAGCCTCTTGCCACTAGTTGGGGGCCAAAATAAAACGCAAACTATTCTTTCTATGCTGGATCTTAGGGTTAGATCCTCCACGCAGGTGGGGTTCTAGGCTGTTGCAGTATAGGACTTTCATAACGGAAACACAGTTTTGGAATTTAATTATTTAGATATATTTTATTGAATGAACAAGAATCAGCAAATAACAACTTATTTTTTTAATCGCTCGTGGGAAACGAACAAACTGCCCTCAATCTCTTCTCGCTGCTGTCAAGCAGCTCCTGCCGCGATGCCAGCTCTCTCTTTCTCTCTTCTCCAAACTTCTTTTTTTTCTATGGCATCTGGAATTACCTTTAATGTTCAATGTTCACTTTTCAACCATCTCGCATACTCACATCTCTCAAATAATTTTATAGTTTACTTCAAATTTATGATTTTTTGATAACTTATAACTTGGTTAATTGATACCCAGTTCATCATAAAACCCAATTATTATTACAACCACAACCAATTACATATTATCAAACACGTGATTTTAGAGGAAATGTTACCAAAAATTATTGAGATGCATTGAATAAGTTGCCATGTTTTTAATGTTTTTATCATGGTAAATCGATTAGCACCACTTTCAGATGGATCGAATTACATAAATTACAAACATTGTACAATTTATGATTCAAACGTATTTTTCTCCAAACGTCAAAAAAACGTCACTTTGTTAACCCCTGTCAAGATGTCAGAAATTTGGGCTGTGGTACGAATATAACCAGTGTTATGGTTTCACGGTCCGAAAGTAATCAAAATACTCTGGTTCCTGGAAAAGTGGTTACTTTTGGACCTCGGTTTCCTGAAATCTGGTTAACTAAATGTCAAAATAGCTACCGGCTATCAGATGTCGGTTCTGTTGGTTTTATCTGTAATTTCTGTCAATAGACCTATCTCGCATGATTAGAAAAAGAGAGCTTGATTATAATAAATACAAGTTAGAAAGCAATAAAAGATGACATGCGCGCGCATTTCGTAGGCTGCAGTGTAGCCAGATTGTATTGTTGGAGAACAAATGTAGACAATACAAATCGAACATTATAACATTAAAGAAGTGATACAGTGTCAAGTGTTTTACAACGCCTTAAATCAGACAAAAAAAGAGCTTTAAAGTGGATGAACATCGTTTGCACTTTTATTTTGATAAATGTTTCATCCGGCAACATTGCTTAATGAAATCGCAAAGGAATATGTCAAGTATAATCTAATAAAACCTTAAACGACACTGCGGTGAGTTCAAGTAATATGTAAAGTATTAGTTTGCTCTTTGTCGAATTAGACGTCACGAAGAAAGAAGGAACAATTCATTCTGGAATGGCCCCTGAATAAGAATATGACGCAAGCCTGTCACAAACTTGCTTCTCATTGGACGCTCGCCTGCAGCCTACAAGCGACGCGCGCAGTCCAGGTAATAGGGGATCGGTCTATTACTTTTTAATTTATATTCGCGTTCCCCCCAAGTAACCAGAATTTCCAGTAACTATCTGTCAACCGATTCGGTCACTTTGGTTAACGTTTGGTTATATTCGGACCATAGCCTTGATTTCTATGCTGCTAGGCAAATCCAGCGGGTTAACACCTGTCGAAATTTAGGGTGGGTTCCGTTGTCTAACCTGGTTAACCGGTCGGTACAATAGGTCTGTTCGTAGAGAAATCACAAACCAGTCAGAGCGAATTTCATTGGTTGAAACTAGTTTTCTGACTGTTTCTGATTGTTTTCAACCAATGAAGTTCGCTCTGACTGGTTTGTGATTGCTGTGCGAACAGCCCTAATGTCGGTTGACAGCGGTTGACAACGATTGACAAGCGGTTGCTGAAAATTTCGGTTTAATATGGAACGCTTTTCCAATCACAGAATCGCCGTTGGTTGCCTTGGTGACATGTTTGACATAACCAACCGCGTTCCGTATAGACCGGTTTTTCAGGAACCAGACATTACGGAACGTGTAACCGTAACCAAGGTTGACAACGGAACCCACCCTTAATTTCTATGCCGCTAGGCAACCGCAGCGGCAGTAGAAGTACTTTTAGTGCCGCTGGAGCGGCAGCAAAAGTACTTTTAGTACTGCTCGTACTTTTACTGCCGCTCAACCATCCAGTTACCCCCGAGCTTACCCCATTCGTTTGGAGAAAAAATAGCGTGTTGCATACGGAGTAGAAGCACTTTTTTGTGCTTCAGCAGTATTGCAAGCCTCACTACGTTCAACTCGCAAACCTACTGCTTCAGCACAAAAAAGTTAAGCTTCTACTCCTAATATAACAATATACTATTATTGAGTGATAATGATAATGGAAAAAATTAACATTCAAATGCCATCATTATTTGGATCTTCTTTACTTGCACTTTCATTTTCTATCTTGTCTGCAAGATCCTTGATGAAAATTGGCATTTTCATCAGCGGATGTTAATTCTAAGTATTCTTTTTGCTGCAATTTCCTCTCTTACAGATTTTGCAGTTTATGGAACATCAATAACAACAAATTCACCAAGCCATTCCTGTTTAGTGGTTTATTCTCAAAAGTGGTTTTTTACGTCTTTCATAAGTAGCGCTTGGAAAATCGCTGATGCTGTTTGGTGTTTGGGTCATCATAACCATTAAACACTGGAACATTTTTTGAGATGTGAAATTCTTGCTCGTCATTAACATATGTTGCAATGCCTATTTCAGGACCCGAATCCCGAACCAACATTTCGATAGTATCGTCCATATAAATTACATAGACGGTACTATCGAATCGTGAGTTCGGGATCCGGGCCCAGGTGATTACTTGATTAGTGACAAATTTTTACAATTGAAAATTCATCAGGTGTTTTTGTTGGAAGATGAGTGAACAAACTCTTTTAATAATATATGCTTATATGCATAGAGAGATTATCCTGTCTTTGCTGTTACAACTTGACATATTTTGTGTTAGCCATTTATAGTTACACTAGAATTATATTTGAAATGAGTTAGATACATTTACTAAAATTAAATGTTGCTTTAATACGTGAATCATTAATCATTAAACATTTCTAACTTAAAATAATTGGTTTTCTAGGCTAGAGACGCTCAGAATCGGGCAGACGAACTGGAAACGAGCAACACACACCTCCTTAAACGTCTAGATAAGTTGAAAACCGCAAAATCGACGCTGCTGAAAGAACTTTGACAGGACAACAATTTGCCTTAAACAAAAACGGCTCCTTACCCCTCAGACCTAGGTGAAAGATTTTTCTAGTGAGTGAAATATTCACTCATCATTATTATTTTGCTAATAATTGAAAATTGCGCCATTCTTTATTTTGTTTTGCTTATAAATTATTAGAGATGTCCCTCAGTTGTCTTTATGTTTTATTTTAATTTTTTGACATTGCATACCCATACAAAAAAAAAACTAATATTATTTGGTGACTCTCTGATAGCTATTTATCTTGTGTTACCTATTAGTGATATTGGACATTAATAACGTTTTCCATTTTATAAATTATTTATATTTATTGTTTTTAACGGAACTTTTTTCAAACTAAAACAAATAATTTTCATTAACACATCGTTGTCATTCTTATAGTTCTGCAATTTTTTATTTTCAATTAAAAAAAAAAGTTACTACAGTTTCACTGTTACTGTTTTTTGTTGCACTTGCTGAAAATAAGCTACATCCCTTTGCCCTATAGGTACCTATGTTTTATTTTCCTTCAGATTTTGTTACATAAAGAGCTACCCCTTACATGGCCTTAGCCAACTGCTTAAGACGCCAAAATTCCGATCGGTTTCGTTTTTGGTTAACAATGAGTTCATTTCGTACACGAAATTTGACTGACAGCAATGTAAATTGAATGGGGGGCATTCGAAATTGTATCAAATTTCGAATGCGAGAATATTGAAAAATATGACCCCAGGTGCCAGCTCTGCTTACTGACCATAAGGTTGAAACCCTACATAATAGTCTAATGATTTGCTTCCCCTTATTACGAGTGTTAGGCTGCGAACCGCACTTTTCCTAATAATTATTGGTGCTAAAATCCAATTTGCCTCATCCCAGGATATAGCCTTTAATTAAACATTTTTTATAATTGATGCTTACACTGACGGGTAAAAATAGTTTTCATTAAAAAAAAAGTTTATTGTTATTGTTACTAATTGATTGCTTTATGTATTAATAATTCTTGCATAAAATTGTCCATTTCATTTTTCATTGTTCTAGTCAATACTTTTAGGAATGCATTGCACTTTGCAGGGTAAGCAGGTGCATAAGGATCCCCTTTTTCAAAAATACACTCCTGGACAAAATTATCGCACCACTGCTTATGGCGATGCTTATGTGCAGTGGTGCGATAATTTTGTCCAGGAGTAAATATTAGTTTTTGAAGAGTTATTGTACTATAAATATATAAACAATGAAAATTTACTCTATCCTTTAAATATTCTATATTTTCAATATTGTCAATGGTTTTGTGTTTAGACAAAATTTTAACCGATTGCATCTGATGCAGTTTGAAGTAAAAAAAAATCCATTCTTCTATCTCATTCCAGAAACATAAAAACCGCATTATGCAAGGACAAAAAGGTTGTCTGTGAGTGATAATAAATTATTGCAGAAAAATAACAATAACACAAAATTAATTTAAAAAAAATTAATATACCGCTCCTAAACAATTTGTCCATATTATTATTGTTATTTAATTTGAAAAAAAAAACAATTATTTTAAAAACTGTGTATTTATTTATTTAGCCAGATAAGTTTTAATTTTTATTCCAATGATTGTTTGTAAATATGTGTAAACTATTTTTTTATATGAATAGGAGCTACCTATGTAATAGAATGTTTCGTGGAGATTATGTCGACATTTAATTTATTGGCTTGCAAAAATGATGCTGTGTGATGAATTAGCTCAAAAAATATAGCATTGTGATTTATACAAAATAAAATTTTGAATCATTGTCAAAATATTTTGACATTCAAATTTCTACAAAAATGTCCTCAAAAATGTGCCAGGCGAAAGAACTTTATAGTCATATTTGTATAACTTTTATTAAAATTCCATATAGGAAATTGAGAATACCCTAAAATATGTCTAAATTTAATATTCGATGTATTGTTGTATTGTTACTGCGAAAATTTTCCAATAAAATCTTTGGACTGATAATTGTTTTCTTGAAATACATTGCTTATCAATTTTAGAAATATTTTACTACAAAATAAACTAATTTTGTAAATACCATGAAATACATATGTGATTTTTCTGTATTCTACTCATACTTGTTTTTTTTTTTTTGGTAAAAGGTACTTGAAATATAAATATTTACTAATTTAGCTTTATCGTTTTTATCTGTATTCCTTCATTGTATTTCAAATCAAACTGGTTTAGGTGTCTTGTCTAGAGTACATCATCCAGTTTTGTCTCCTGGAACTTTCCTTTTACCCACCACTTATTGTTAGCGATCGGCCAAGCCACTCCGCAAAATGTTCTATCTCAGTCATGGGCTTTATTATTGAGCCTTCTTTGGATATTTCATGAACCTTTCGTTTCCTCAGTGACCCTCGGGTCCTGGCACCCAAGCCAACATCAACTTGTTCTGCCTACCAAGTCCTGAGGTTATTTAGTTTGTTGGTGCAATCCCAACCCACCTTGATGTCTTGACATGGTCTCTGATTGCTCTGATGGCGGCTTGCTCATAGTCTAGATGACTATGGATTCATTCCTTGTTTCTCTACTTTTTATTTCTTCTGCACAGTTTAGGATGCTTGTTATTTCAGCCTGCAAAAATATGGGGAAGCTTCCCATTGGTATCATGATTTGGGTTTCTATCCGTCGTTCTAAGTTCAGTTCCCTTTCCTTGTTCAGTTTTATAGGCGGCCTTGTTTCCAGTGGTCTTAGTATCTGTACTCTGAAATGGTTTTCGAGAATGTGGTTCAAGGTAGACTGTCCAATATTGGATATTACTCGATTTAGCCGATTTCCCTTATTTTTCACCTATTTATTTTACCATGACCTCTTATTATTGGTCCTTGTCCCTTTAATGCGCTTGATCGGGCTTCGCCTTGTAAAATGTAGCGGAGGCAGCTTCAGCCACCTTTCCATGGCTGCTTTGGGGGTGGTACTCATTACCCCAGTAACACAGGCCAGCCAGTATTTGCATGCCATTCAATGTTCTTATTGCCTCTATTTGGTTGAGTTTTGTCCACCATGCTATTGCTCTGTAGGTGGGTCTGAGTATAAAATAAAGCTGCAACTTCCCAGGACCATTGTCAGCTTCTGTATGGTCTTTGGTATGTGCATGTTCCATGTCAGCTTTTGGTCAAATATAACGCCTAGGTGTTTTGCTTCTGTTGAGTAGGGAATTGCCTCTTCCTTAATTTTAATTGGTTTAAGGATTGGTTAAAGGAGAAACTAATAGTTTTTTCTTTCCGTGAAAGTCACCACTGTTGTCTTTCTTGGATTGACCATTAACTTTTCTTTCTCGCACCATGAGGTTACAATATTAAGGGTCCTTTATTGGGTTCTATCCGCAACAGTGCCTGCAAACTTGCCTTGCACTATTACCGTTAGGGCGCCCGCCTATCCCAGGCAATAGAAGCCCTCTGCGTTTACTGTTTAGTGTTTGTTGCAGTTCATCCACTAGGATGGATCAGAGTAGCGGGGATAGTGCTCCTCCCTGGGAGAAGCCAGTGTTGACTGTAGTTTCGATGATAGCTCTCCTGTAAGTGGTTATCGAAGTCCTGAACTTAAGGCATTTGATAGCAGCCTATTTATGTCGTCTAGAGCCAGATCAATCGATTTGCCTGCTTGGTATACGTACTGGCATTTGCTCGAGGGTATGCTTTCCAAAACTTTCCCCTTATACAGTGTGTCCAAGAAAAGGATGGGATAACATTAGGATCTGGGAAACGGTTGGAGTTACAATGTTGGTTAGATTAGGAAAAAGTTGCGCCATTCAAGCACAATTAATTGGAACATTTGAAAAATTCCGAACATTTTCCCAGATATCCGGAAAAAGCCGAAATTTTGCAAAAGCAATTCTATTTTTTCCTGAGCTTTTGAGGAAATATTTAAAAATAGGTTTCACTTCATCGTTACCACTTTTCCCACTACGAGATGACATGACATTATCGCATAGCATTATCGGTTTTGACTAAGTGAAGTTTGTGTCGTATCGGTATCCAATGAAGGGGGCGATTCGTCGGTTAGGACAAGAAAAATAAAAGGCCTGTGGCCTGTTAAGTCTTTGCCAACGTTCCGCCCAAAATTTTAGGGCTTTATCAGGGGTAAAATATATATTATGTAAGTCTAATATGTATATCTTATAGGTAAGTCTTCCGGCACAGCAAATAGTACGGGAAAAGCGATTCCCCTCCACGCTCGTAGAAACATTTATATCATTGATTATAGGAGCGGCTAGCCGTGTACTTCCGTACCGCGACGTTGCCAAATATGCTGTATTCCTTCGTGCATGTATTATAAAGGCGGGAATATTTGAATGTAATAATTTTATTTTAAAAACAAAAATAACCATCATTGTAGTTAACTCGAAATCGTACATGTTCAATCCATGGGTACCATCTATAGCAATTATATTACTTCCAAATTTAGTTAAAATATTCTCTTGTGCCTTATCATAAAAATTATACAAAAATCTTAATATCTAATTGAGGAAATTCATCCCCCTGCCTTTTATATAGCAATATTTCATTTCCATTTCCAACTTCTTGGTATTGCTTTACTAAAAGATCGACACTTATGGAATCATTCTCATGCCGAATACCATCCTGTATATTGACATGGTATGAATTTGTAATATTATTTATATCTTTTCTTGTAGTTAGATCACAGCGGGATAACTTATCTTCTTCAAAATTATCTCTAAATTAATCCAACACCCTAAACATAATAATAATTAAGTATATACATATAAACAAAATACCCTGACTAAATGTTTTTGAAAAAAATTAAGACTTACCTACTCACTGAAACACCACTTGCAAGTTTTGTTGCAATATTAATTCGTGTTTCTTTAGAGAGATGTATATGCTGAACTTCAATTGTATGTCCATAATGGGTCTTGTAATATTGTGCACAATATTGGCCAGTAGAATTCTGGTTTAAAATGTTTTGGCTCGTGCATTTATGCCCAATTTTACAGCTACCTTGACTTTTAATGGCTCGTTTTCTAATTTCGATATTACTTTTATATGTTCCTGAAATGATATGGATATGGAATTAACACACAGGTCACTTGTGTTTGATGTGAATAGTCACACTGAATTTTAATTACCTGATCGATTACAATTAAAATATGTAATAGGTTGGTCTTTTTGTTTATGTCGAACATATTCTAAATTATTGTTGTCACAAATTTGATGAAACCAGGGGTTAAATTCTAAAATAAACAACCAATTTATATTTGAAATTAATTGGATTATTGTAAATAACTTTATACTTACCTTCTTCACTTGCAAAAAAAATGTTTTCCTTATTCATAGTTTTGTTATGGACCGTTTCTAAGTGACATCTTAATTCTGATATAAACCGAAAAGAAGTGCCACAGTTTTCTTCTAAGCACTTACTATTAAAGTGATCATATGGGTAGGAAATAATATTATTTTTTTCCTGTTTATGTACATTCTTCAAGTGCCGATTAACACTGCTTTGAGTGGAAAAAACTTTAAAACAAATTAAACAAGAGACTGGCATTTTTAATTAACACCAATCAAGTTCGATTGGAGGAAATACCGTTAACTTTTTAAAATCTTGGAAAATAAAAAACGAGGTTAGGTTCACAAATCTGCTTCACTCACACTGGCACGAGAAGGAAAGGAGGCAACGTCGCGGTACGGAAGTACACCGCTAGCCGCTCCTATTGATTATTGGCACTTTTCAAAATGATGTCTGTGAAGTCAAAGTCAAACTTCAACATTGAGAATTAGAGTGCGTTCGAAATCACCCTTGAGGTTAAAAAGTCGTAATTTTTTGACGTTTGCGGAAAAAATATTTTTTCGAATAAATGCGTTACCTACGTCGTAGGTTTTGGGACATCAGAAGCTCTCAAAATCTGAAATAGAAAATCAAGGGCCATATTTAATAATCTAATATATAAAATTTCCATGTCACAGTGTTAGTTAGTTACAATACTCCTCCGAAACGGCTTTACCGATTTTCATGAAACTTTATTTTATATGTATATTCGGTAGGTCTGAGAATCGATCGTAATCTATTTTGTATACCCCCAGGTGACAAACGTGGTCCACCCCAAAATTTTTAAATTTTTTTCTGCTTCTCACCACTACATAACCAAACTTTTTTTTTGTTTGCGCATTCAACCGACGTAACAGTATTATCTTATGGCATTTTTGGCTTTACCGCTCCCAGGGCGCTCCCTATTTAGGCGGTGATGTCACAGATTTCTGCGGAAGTGCTCCGAGAGCGATTATGATCCAGACGAGGAGCGAGGGCACCCTATTTGAAATCAATAGCCGAACGTACTTTATTCTTTTGATCAAACTTTTTGTTATATCGAATTTGACGCCGACGGAGCAAGAAAGAGCGCTCCGTACGAGAAATCTCGCTCGCAAATGAGAGCGTTTATTGCTCAAATCGAACACGTGAATCTCGCCGAGAGCAACGCTCCGTTTCCATTGTCCGTCTCAAAGCCGAACATGTGAATCCGTTTCGGTTCGCCTTTTTAATCATGCCAGTAGTGTTGCCAATGACCCGATAATTGAACCCTATGCTGGAACAACGTTTCAAACGCCAAATTTTGTTTTGTTAGAAATTCAAAAAAAACAAAAAATGATCGATTGCTTTATCAAATATAGTGGATTTGTGCATGATATAGATATAACTTAACTGAAAAGAACTTAGCATCTTATAGGTATTGAAGACCACATGAAGAATTGTGATTTACGAGCATATTTTTCTCATTTCATTCAAACAACGTTGTATAGTCCGACAAATACCATTTTAAAGTCACGTGGTATTGGTGGCAAAAAACGTATGTCCATTGATTATGTCGTTGATATCACCTACAAAAAGCTACTAGTGGTTAATTACTATTGAATTTTAAGATATGTTCCCAATAGCATTTTACAAACGCGTTTCTGAAGTAGTATTGACCAATCACATGGGAATTTCAATACTTGCAATTGTTGTGAGACTCACTTTTGACGCATCTGCTGTCCATTGTAATACATTCTGAACTTGAATTGGGTACCCGATTTCTATTTGCTTCTTTTCGAGTTGGAAAAAGGTTAATATAGTCAAAATTATTAGCTGTGTTTGTTCGTTGTATCATTTTCCAAAATAACTTTGACAAACTAATTGACGACAGTGACGGATTCTATTTCAGGTAAGAATATTATGAATAATAATTAGACACCATTTTTTTCGTCAATTTTGCTATCACCGCTGTTTGAGATGTATCCAACAAGGATAGAGAAAAATCACGTGACTTTAAAATGGTATTTGTTGGACTAATATTCATGTCGGTTACAACGTTGTTTCATGAAACTAAGGCGGTTACAACGTTGTTTTAAGACTAAAAACCAACTAGGGCGAGGTTGCACTTAAAACGTTGTTCTGCAAAAAGGACGAACTGGACCAATTAAAATGGCATCAATAACCCATCAAAAAAAATCCTATGCCCCCACTATTAAGTAGGCGGATTATCCAGGGTACATACAGCGTTGTTCCACGAAAATACCGTTTTTACACATATTGTCGTTTGCAACGTTGTTCCAGCATAGGGTTCAATTAACGAATTCTACCATAATTGTAACTACAATCCAATAATCGATAATGACCAGCTAATCTACCATAATTTAATGAAACTACAATTTTAATACAAATTTTAAGTAAAAATTAAAAATTCATCAAAAAAATTGAAGGTGGTTGTTGGTTTCGAGTGTTTTGATGTACCTATACTGGTGCGAGCGAGCAGCAAACATTAGTCCAAGAGTCCCAGCTAGAACCAGAAAAATAAAAATAGAGATAAAATGTCAAAAAAGTTGACAGAAACTTTTTCTGATAATTTTTCTTGGAATCTGTATTAGGCTCTCCAAACCACGTGATTTTTCAATATGGCGAGTGTGGAAAATTTGTCGTTTGTTTGTTTATCTTGAGTTTATTTGGAATATTTTCAAGCTAATTACAGTTTACTTTGTTATAATATACTTTTTGAGATGCAGAGTGAATATTGAAAGACTTAAATGCACGAAAATCGGGATGTGGGCGAACCAATGTTAGTTTGAAAAAATGTCCAGTTGACATTTTGACCCACAGTTTTCACAAATTTCACATCCATGAACAAATGAAGGCCTACAAAAGCTTAGATTCTCACAAGTATTTTGAGTCTGGCTTAATTTTAGATGCAGGAACAGTGGTAGTGAAAAATTTTCACGTTTTAATTGGAAAATTTGGAAGCAGAGGGCAATGAAAAAAGCCTGACATCATCCTTGTTACCTTGTTGAAACTACTTCCACAATCAACTACAAGACACGTTTGTGGTATTTTTAATTGCAAGAAATACTAATGAAGTCAATAAAATAAAAAAATAAGCAGAGTTCATTCACAAAACAACCACAAAATGTACTTTAAAAAGCTTTAAATTCCATACTCTCATATACGGGATAATAAACTTCCGCCCACAACGCGCTTTTTGACAGGTCGTTGAAATGCCTAATTGTGTTCTCAAATCCTGATAATTTAAAATTTGACATCTGGCAACACTGAATCATTCAGAAGCAGTTTTGAGACAAAAGTCGAGAGTGCTATTATATAGGCATTTTTTTTTGTTGAGGAAACAGTTTCAAAGACTGTTTTAAAACAGTGTCAGCTCTGACGTCACTATTTTTATGAACCAAAAAAATGCAAAGTTTCAAAACTAAAATGCTTGATCTAACCTTAAAAAAAATTCGACTTGTTTATTCTTTCTTTGAAAATCTTTACTTTGATGATTTTTTGTTTTCAGTTAATTTAAAAAAAATAGTTTTGGACGATTATTTTCATATCCTTTTTATTTGATAATTATATCAAAAAACAATAATAAGATTAGTGAGCGTGTGTTTATTTTGTGAAAATGGAGATGGAGCAATAAAATAAGGAGAATGAGATGATATACCGTGCCCTTATAGGACTCATCCAAGAACAAGACATTTTTTTCAAATACCGGCTATTATTACACTAAACTTTGGGTGGAATTGATGTTTGGTTGTCTTCAGAAACTGAATTTCGACCTTCCTCAAATTTTGTCAGTTGTTCAAGATATTGCTGTGCAAATAGATCATCTAAAAAAAGTAAAATAAACAGTGTATTGTATTGGGGTACCTACATATTAAACCTACATATACCTATCCTGATCACAATCCGATGTCCACAGGTGCAGGTAAATTTATCACCTTTCCCTATCAAATAGCATTGAAAGGTAATTTTAACTTAAAATCACAGGTCTCAATGTCCCCTATCTAAAAAGTCGATCCTGCCTCGTGAGAACTTGCCGGAAAAAGGTGGCAGGGCAGCTTATTGGGGCAAGGGCCTGCGGTCTCAGCTTTGACACCTATCAAGTTTTAGACTGACTAATGTGTCAAATTAAAGGTGTCAATAAGTTGATTTAAGGTGGGTTCGCACAGAAATCACAAACCAGTTAGAGCGAATTTCATTGGTTGGAAACAGTCAGGAAACTAGTTTCAACCAATGAAATTCACTCCTTCTGGTTTGGGATTTCTGTGCGAAGAGACCTTAAATCAACTTATTGACACCTTTAATTTGACACATCATTCAGGGCAAAACTTGATAGGTATCAAAGCTGAGACCGCTGTCCCTTGCACCAATAAGCTGCCCTGCCACGTTTTTCCGGCAAGTTCTCAAGAGGTAGGATCGACTTTTTAGATAGGGGACATCGAGACCATTAATCTGATACCCTTCTTAGGGCATAACTCGATGGGGGTAGTGTCACGTTTTTTTCAATTTGTTAATAATTTGTTAAAAGATATTTCCGGCAGCATTTGCTCTCAGGCAGGAATACCGGTTAATAGATGCACATAATAATATATTTTGATAATAGTGTCGACACATAACTCGATTGGGGTAGGAAAAATGCGGTCGTCTCCCTAACTAAAAGGTACATTTATCATCTTTCCCCATCAAATAGCACTGAAAGGTGATAAATTTTACCTTTACCTTTGGAAAACTGATTGTGACTAGATAGATGTCATTTGCCTTCCTTTTTTGAAAAATAAGTTTTTTTAAGTCTGAAATTTCAAACAAACATATAGTTCGTTGCTCGAAGGTTTGTACTCACGTCATGGATGACGTCATAACTTGGAAAAAAGGATTTGTCGTGAATTAATTCATAGAGTATGTACGTTCGGAATTATTGTTTTGTCATAAAATTTTTAACTTAGAATAGAATAGAATTCATTCAGTTATCCGCAAATATATAAATCCATTAACTGCGTATTATACAGAGTGTACCATTTACAACGAAACAGACTGAATATCTGATGCCACGTTTATTTTTTAAAAAATCCCTCGTACACGCAATTTGATTGTCGAAAGGGGAAGTTTTCTGCAACCATTTTTAGCACTTCACGTTTAACCCTCTAGGCGGGGTGGGACTAACCTTTACTATTTCAAATGGAACAAGGGGTCGAGTGGTACCCATCATTAAAAGAGCATTCTATTCTATTTCATTTGATATTATTTGAAAGAAAATTGAACGCTCTTTAAAACAGGTATCAATCGACATGGTAAGGGTTGGTCCCAACCCCCCTAGAGGGTTAAGTTAGTGCTGAAAATGTTTCTAATACTCACACAATCAAACTACGTATACGAGCGATTAAAAAAAAAAAGTGACTTCAAATATG